AATGAAGCAAATCCAATCATTCAAAGAAATATGAGATGTATTGTTATGAAAGTGATTGAGAGTTGTTATGAAATGAAGAAAGACACCACAGAAATACGACAAATCATCGATAGAAAAACATGTGATATGGATAAAGTTATTGAACATTGAAATATAAAGAAGAAAGAACAATATTGATGATTAGAAGAAAGAAAGGAGAAATTAAAGAATGTTTTAGAAATCTTCAAAGCAGAAGTATCACATGTTTAAATGAAATAGACAAACAAAATCAAAATCAAAATGAAGAAGAAAGAAAAGAAAAGGAAGAAGAAATAACTAAAATGTATGAAGGAATTATGGAAGATCTCAAAGAAGTAAGTGAAACATTTCGATTAAGAGATATAACTAGAAATGAAGAATGTGTTGAAGTGATGAAGAAATGTAATGAAATAATGAAGAGAAGAAATGAATATTATGAAGAATACAAGAAAGTGTATCGAGAAATAGTTGAAATAGAAATTTCAAATATACCAATAAAAGAAGGAATTGAATTTTGTTGTAAAATCACAGAAGGAGTTTATTAAGAATGGTGTTAAGTGATTTAATCAAACAAAGCCATCGAAATTAACAATGTACAAAACACTTCAAATGATTTCAAATGAACAACTAAACCAAACAATACAACAACATAACAAAGAATTAAAAAAAGGAAATATTACAACAAAAGAATGTGTTGTTTGTCATAAAGAAAAGGATGAATTAATCAATGTATTTGGATGTGGTCATAGTTATCATTCAACATGTTTAAAATCATCAGGAATATGATTAGAATGTAATCATCTTATGAAATAATTAGGTTTAATCAACAACGTGATTACATTGTTGTTGTTATATCATTTGAAATGATTATTTGACAATAAATCACATTATTTATTATTATTATTTCTTGTTATCTTTTTATTCATCATAAATCATTTCTTTTGATTAATTGATTGATTTTGATTAATAACATTCATTATGTTGAATGGTAAGTCATTTGACCACTCTAAAAAACAAGACCAATAAGAGATAATCAGAAAATGAAGATGATAGTGAAAAGTGGATGTTTCATTCAAATTGTTTATTTATCATACTTAAAAATAGAAAAATAAAAAAATCGAATAATTACTATTTTTAAAATAGATTTTTTTAAATCTTAAAAATATTTTAAGTTAAAATAAAATAAAAATGGAAAATACAACAAGAAACAATAAATCAATAATGAAATTAGGATATAATGAAATAATGATAACATCAATGTACTTTAATGATATTAAAGATTTTATTAATTTAGAAATGGGAGTTAAAAGATTTCAAGGAAATATGGAACGATTTCATTTTAATCCAATTCCATTAAATGAATATTCAAGAAAGTTGTTTCCTAATATTGAAACATTTCATATTTATAATGAAGATGATGAAATATTTAATGATGGAAAAATATTTAAAAAAGTAATATGGTATGCTATTAGTTATTCATTATATTTAAAAGAAAAAGAAGCATGGAATGAATGTAAAAATATAGAATATACAAAATTAGATAGAGAAGAGTATGGAAATATAATACCACATGAAGTTAAATCACTTGGAAATGAATGTTTTAAACATTGTACATCATTAAAATCAATTGATATACCAACAACAATTAGTGAAATAGGATATGGATGTTTTAGAGGATGTTCATCATTAACATCAGTTAATATTCCAACATCAGTTAGTAAAATAGGACATTATTGTTTTTCAGAATGTTCATCATTAACATCTTTCACTATACCAACAACAATTAGTATAATAGGATATAGATTTTTTTGCAAATGCATATCGTTAAAATCAGTTAATATGCCATCAGTTAGTAGAATAGGATGTGAGTGTTTTAGTGAATGTACATCATTAACAAGTATAGTCCTTGAAAGTGTACAGTTTATCAGTGAAAAAGAATATTTATGAATAAG